TCTTCTTCTTCTTCTTCTTCTTCTTCTTCTTCTTCTTCTTCTTCTTCCTCCTCCTCCTCCTCCTCCTCCTCCTCCTCCTCCTCCTCCTTTTTTTTTTTCCTTCTCTGTTGGATGGTTGATGTTGAGCCTGCAGGGAGCAAGCTGGCCCCAGACTTCTCCAAGACCACATTTCTTTTCCTCCAGTTCTTACGTGTCCAAAGACAGGGAACTACAGACATGCTTTTGTAGGAAGGTTTTATGTTTTTGCTGTCATTATTATATACAATTTTGATTTGCATGTAAGTTTTTAGGTTTATTAAAATAAAGAGTGTGACAAACCTGAATTTTGTAATGCAGTATATTAAAATAAATTACAATGCATTTTAATACTAAAATCTACATCTTGTCTTTGATTTTAGCAATGAATCAAATTCACAGAAGGTTGTTCCCTAACAGAACTATGCTTTATAATGAAAAATTGCTCTGTTCTAAAACAAAAGCAGAAAAAAAGAAAATGATCAAAAAGTGAATTTCTGAAATCTAATTTTTAGCTGATGATCGATTCAATTTTAGGTTGAACAAAAGAGTGGGTTTTTGAAGTCACATGCCATTTATTTTATACAGTATTCATATTTTGCAAACTTCAACCTGTTTGCTCTCTCTTACACACACACACACACACACACACACACACACACACACACACACATAACCAGAACACCTCCCTTCCTCTTCTCCTTATATATGGAATTTGATTCCTGGATTCTGTGAACCTCTCCCTGCATTTCACTGTTTGTAGATGAAGCAACTGGAAGTTTCCGGCTTTCAAGCAGGACAACACTGCTCAGAAACATGAGGCCTTCAGGTATTCAGAGGTGGTAGGAAGAAGTGCTTAGGGAGAAACTGAGGAGGGGATCCTGGCAGCAAAGACAGGAGAATCACATCTTAAATTCTCAGAGGGTCCATGAGAAGACAGGATTCTTCCTGTTCTCATCTGAGTTATGAGCTGCCAGAAGAGGCAGGGATAACATGGGGCTAAGCTTTGGACTGGACCCAGAGGGGACGAATGAAGGTAGTTGTATGTGCCTGATGTATATCACAGTCCCCAAAACAATCGAAGTCATGTTGCCTTATATGCTGATTGAGATCTGTGTCTCCTTACACGTCCATTGGGGTGGGGACGCCAGAGTTGATAGCACATAGAAAGCAAATGAAAGTGATTACTTTAAAAGCAGCAAAATGCATAGTCCTCCCTTATACAGGACTCTGTACGGGGGGGGGGGGGGGAATCCTAGGTATCACAAAAGGGAAAGACTTGATCATGACAGTGTTGTCCTCAAACCAGCATCTACAAGAGAGGGAAGGGATGGAATGGAGTCTGAAGTAAAATAAGGTGCCTGCCCAGCCCACGTAAGGCCAGCCTCTTACCGTAATGCGGGATGATAGCCCAAGCCATGGCAGAGGCGTAGATCCCACCAATCATCCAGAACATGCAGAGCCAGCTCAGATGCTCACCCCGCTTCTCTCGGGCCAGCACTTCAGCAAAGTAAGAGAACACAGTGGGAATGGCTCCTCCAATCCTGCCAACAGGTACAGAAAATACAAGAAATCAGAGCCAGTACAGCCACGTGAGATGCAAAGTGCAGAACCAAAGCAAGCTCTGACAGCACATGCTCTCTCTCTATCCCAGCATATCAAGCAATGTATATTTTCTATCATTTTGTCATTTTAACACTATAATCTCTGTTTAATATAGGTTTATTATCCCTCCAGAACCTGCAATTAAGTAATGTCACCAAAAGGTGGCAGTGGTGCCCTAGTCATGTGGTTTCTAGAGCTTCCCTTGTTGAAGATTATGACGGGTTTTCTGCTCAGGGTTGAACGTTCTACATATTTGCCAGAATTAGAGCATTTGGTACAATCTAGTGAGTATTTTAATTAACACATTTTTAAAAAAGAGATACTATGATAAGTTCTACCCATGACGTGGTGACTTTGGAAAGAGCTTCAAACACTTCTGGGAGGCTGTCTGTAACTGTACCTGCTCACTGCTACACTGTGGCAGCTGGTACTGCAGCCCAATCAGGCTGCTGTGTTGATGGCCACAGGCTCAATGGGGTTGCTTCCTAGACTGTTCTGGTCTCAGTAGGTTTCAGATTTCAGTAGAACCCAGTAGATGGATTTCACCGCCGCATGAGTACACGTGTAGGTGCACTGGTAGAATCAAATAAGGTGCTGCTGGTTTCAATACTAATAGAAGGGAGTACAATGCTTCCTTCCAGTGGGGCAATTATAAGAGATGCTGACTGAGCTCTAGAGAGATGACATGAGCGGTGACTTCCATTCAGGCTAAGTGTTCTCCAGTGAGTGTATATGGAATAAATATTTTGTTCATTCTAGGAAGATAGGCCATAAATCTCATCAGAGTTTCAAATAGGTCTTGACCCCCTAAGTTTTAAAACCACTGCCTCAGAAAGTAGGGTTATGGGAAAACATTACTATCATTCTAAACAGTAATATTAACTCTTTTATTTAATTTAATTTAATTTTATTTATTTTATTTTATTTTAGAAAGAGAGAGCATGTAAGCAGGGGAGAGATGCAGAGAGAGAGAGAGAGAGAGAGAGAGAGAGAGAGAGAGAGAGAGAATCCCATGCAGGCGCAATGCTCAGCATGGACCCTAATGCAGGGCTCGATCCCACCACCCGAGGATCATGACCTGAGGTGAAATCAAGAGTCAGACACTCAACCGACTGAGCCACCCAGGCGGCGCCCCTATGAATTCTTAAAATCAATATTTTTTAAATGATGTACAATAATAGATATAAACAAATTGTAGAGAAAACACTTAGCAATATAGTTTTAAGAATATGTGCTGATTCCTTTATGTTCAGATTTCTGTGAGGTAAATTGCTATTGACATTTCACATCAAGGAAGAGAACATGCATTTATCCATTTAGCAGTAACTGATCTCCTCAGAGCCTTTGATATGATAAAGAAGTATTGGCAATGACTTTAGCAAATGAAATTTAGAGAAAGGCCTTATCTGTAGCAAACTGGATGTACCAAACAAATCGCAAGATTCATAGTGTCATTCTGCATCAAACAGTAGGTCAAAATATGGCACTGCTTCATGCATTTGTCCCTGCTTAAAGTGACGTGGAAGTTATCTACTGTTAGATATGGGCAGACCACTCAGGTCAGTGCTTTTCAGTCTGTGGGCTACAGAATTAACTCAGTAGCTATAAGCTACTAACATTTAAAAATTACAGTAGAGATGAAAATAGTTCAGGGCAACTCAAGTAATAAGGATAAGTATCATTTCATGAAACTTTTCCTTCATTATGAACATGTTTATAATGTAGAATGTATATACATTTATGCGTATATATATATGTGTGTGTGTGTCTACATATACATTGATATATATAAAATAAATATATATGTATATAAGTGTATAAGGGGCTGCAATGTATTTCTTAGTGGGAACTCTTATTCAAATGGTTTAAAAATCACTAGCTTAAACAGAACTACCCTGTGATCCAGCAATTGTACTATTATGTATTTACCCAGAGGATACAAAAATACAGATTCAAAGGGGTATTTGAATCTGCACCCCAGTGTTTACAGCAGCACTGTCAACAATAGCCAAACTATAGACAGAGCCCGAATGTCCTTCGACTGATGGATGGATAAAGACGAGGGTGGTATGTATTTACAAAGGAATATTACACAGACATCCAAAAGAATGAAATCTTGCCATTGCTATGATATGGATGGAGCTAGAATGTATTATGCTAAGTGAAATAAGTCCATCAGAGAAAGAAAAATACCATGATTTCACTCACCTGCAGAATTTAAGAAACAAAACAGATAAGCACATGGGAAGGAGGGGGAAGAGAAGACAGGGAAATAAACCACAGGAGACTCTTAATGATAGAGAACAAACTGAGGGTTGATGGAGGGAAGTGGGTGGGGGATGGGCTAGATGGGTGATGGGAACTAAGGAGGCATTTATTGTGATGAGCACTGGGTGTTATATGTAAGTGATGGATCACTGAATTCTACTCTTGAAACCAATATTGTACTGTATGTTAACTAACCAAAATTTAAATCAAAAAAATGAAAAAGAAATTTGATGCTGGAAGCAGGGAAGTTGTTGAATGGTGGACTTCCACTTTCTATTTTAAACACTTCCTCATTACCTGAAATACTTTTTTTTAAAAAAAAGAGCATGCACTGCTTTTATAATTAACATTCTCATTTAAAAAAAATCAAAAGGATGAAAAACAAATTAATGAATAAATAAAAGAATGTTTCTATGCAAAAAAAGAAATGTATTCTGAAGTATCCAGAAGTTGCTGGATTTCCCCCCTACTTCCTTGCCTTCCACAGGCTGTTGCTCCTGCCTGGACTGTATTACTTTTTGGGGACTACTTATTTGAAGACTCGATTTAACAATCACTTTCTCAGGGAGCCTTCCCTGAATTTTAAGAATACAACAAAGTTTCTGAACAGATTTAAAGTGGTTTCATTATAACACACAATTTCGGTAGGAAATAAAATGGCCGTGTCATCAATCACTTAACACTACTCCTTTTAAATTTGATGTGAAGGATCTGTTTCTCTGCACCATAAAGTCCCAGGCCCCTAATCTATGCCTTCACTTTGCAATGCATAAAGAGTCTCGGTTTTTATTGACTTTTCACATCCTAATTAATGTTTCATCAGGATTCTGGACATTCCATATGGAAGAGCTATAACTCACATTTCATGAAGGAACAACTGAATGTTAAGATATGCCAGGCCACTCTGAACCAAGATAAATGTACTCCAGGGTGACTAAAATGGCAAGTGGAAAACAGTAAACTTGCCTGTTAGTTTTAAACAAATTACTGTTGCATAAGAGAATACCAACTTTTAGGGGCACATGAGCAATCCAGGTGCTTTTGATTCAATGCCTCTTTTTAAGGTGGTTATTTTTGCATGGATGTCTCTCAATATCTGTATGCAAAGCAGACTGCAAGGAACTCTAATATCAATAGATAGATGAGTCTGAAGAATGAGAGAGGGAGTCTATTCAAATCCTTTGCAAAGTTCTTCAGATTCAGAGACCTACAAAACAATCCAAGCATTCACACTTCCTACTGTGGGCTGATCATCCATTTTAGGGAAAATATCACTCCTCCTGTTACTATCATGTTCTTTAAGCAGAAAAAAAACCCATTAGAGCATGTGGTAATGTTAACTATTACTTGTATTTCATACTCCATCAGAGGTCTTAAACATTATTCACATCAGAGTGAAGGTTCCCTGAAGGTGAGGACTATATTCCATTCATCTTTGAATCCCCATTACCTGGCCCACTGGACATGCACTAAGTGTTCCTCAGAAGAGCTGTCTTTCATGAAGCCTCTCTGCTGATGGAGGTGCCACTCCAAACCTTCTGGAGAAACTTGTTCTGATGACCTAAACATCTCCCATGAATTAAAAGCTACATCTTATGTTTTGGGTCAGTACAACCATAAGAGAAGTCGTGGGTGCTAGGATGGAAGTTCTGATAGCAATAAAGTCCCCACAGAGCTCCTGAAATTACTGCATATCTGAATTTCCATGGTCACCTCTTGACCAGGTCCCCTGGTGAAAAGAGTCTCTTGGAACATCTGGGCATAAGACACTGTGCAATCCTCTTGGGCACTCTGGGAGCTTCTAAAATACCTTGGTACCTTTCAGAAAAGGGCTGCAGAATGCTAGAATTACCAACAACAATACAAGTTTAAGTAAGAGAGAAAGCACAAGTGTCCATGTCTTACAATATGATTTTGTTCCTGGAAGTGTTAAGGATAAGAAAAAGCTGTCCCCCTCCTTTTTAAAAAAATTTTTTTTCAACGTTTATTTATTTTTTTTTTGGGACAGAGAGAGACAGAGCATGAACGGGGGAGGGGCAGAGAGAGAGGGAGACACAGAATCAGAAACAGGCTCCAGGCTCTGAGCCATCAGCCCAGAGCCTGACACGGGGCTCGAACTCACGGAGCGCGAGATCGTGACCTGGCTGAAGTCGGACGCCTAACCGACTACGCCACCCAGGCGCCCCTCCCCCTCCTTTTTTATAAGTAAAAAAAAAAGAAAGAAAGAAAGAAAAGAAAGAAAATTTTTCATTATTACTCTGTATCAATAGTTCAATATTTTGTGTGAGGGGCTAATGTATTTCTTTAATTGTTTTATTGTATCAAGATACAATTTCTGAGAATACATGAGAAGATAACAAATATTTAAATGGAAGTTCTCAAATTCTCATGTATCAGCTGCTGTTAAATACAGTTGGTTGTGTTCACCAGTCTCTCAACAGACATTCGGCAATGTCTGGATACATTTCTAGTTGTTCACAACTCAGGAGGTGCTATTGGCATATAGTAAGTAGAGGCCAGGGATGCTGCTAAGAATCCTAAAATACACAAGCCAGTTATTCACAACAAAGAATTATCCATTCCAAAATATTAATAGTGTTGAGGTTGAGAAACTCTTGTAATGGGGATTTAATGAAATGATAACTTGTTTTATACTAAAAATCCATAAGAT